CAGTTCCTCTACCAGCTTTTGTTTAACCATTTGCAGACTTAACAGTATATTTTTCTCCAAAAAATTCACTTAAATAGCAGACTAGAAACATTTTAATGATCCATTAGAAAATCATTTTATGTTCAACATACCAGAAACTCGGGTGTTATTTACTATTTGAGTTTCGGGAGTGGTAATGTTTTTATCCCACTGGATTTATTCCTGTCTTTAAGATCTTCAAATTCGTTGGATATTTTTGTGATTGGGGGCTGCACAGTTTTAGTGTTAAGCTATAACAGTGCACAGGTTTGTGTTTCATCTTGCCTTTTACCAAGGATTGCTTATTTATCATAGCTGCCACCCACAGTCCTGAAGTTGACTCACAGTTTGTGATCAGTAGTGATTTGTGCAGAGTGAAATGTCAACATGGAAATGCCATGTCTGATGGCAGCCATGGCAGGCTTTCCCCTCTTTTGGAGAAAGCGTTCTGTTTTCAGAGATTAAATATTGAGGGGGAGAAAATGGTTCCTCGTTTGTGGCTACAGACCTGGAGCTGGGGAGGTACAGTGCTGGTCACGGAAAGACCCGGGTTTGAGTGTTGACTCTGCCATATTATTTTGGGCAAGTGCTGGTCATGGGGATTGGCTTCTCTTCAATGAAATCATCTTGACCTCTTCTGACTTTAAAAGCTGTTTACATATCTTTAGCATGCTAATTCTTTCAACTGAGAACTTGATTGGCTGCAAGTTAATTGTAAGTTCTGATTTGGAACATTCTCATGGATATAGCCAGTTGTGTTAGCCATGTAGGAGAAGTTAGTAATTTTTATTGCTGGCTTTTAGCCTACTGCCAGGCATCATTTTGCTGCATATTTCCTCTAAGATAGAGCAAGATTTGCTCTTTAAGAAAACATCCTGGTCAACCCAGGGAATACTGTGTCCAACCAATTCCTTTTGAATGTTGGTTTAACCCATGACAGTTTCCAGGACTTGTTCGGGTCAGGCTCCTGGTCTTCACCCTTGCACTCTGTTGGGTCAATAGGGAATGTGGGGACAACATGCTCAGTTTAATGGCCCCAGATATAGATACAGAGGAACTTTGAAATTAGAAGAATTAGTATCACATTCATCTTAAAAAAATAAAAAATAAAAAACCCCCAGCACTGGCAGGGTGGTTCAGTTGGTTGGACACTAAAAAGGTTGCCAGTTGAATTCCCAGTCAGGGCACATACCTAGGTTGTGGATTTGATCCCCGTTGGGGTGAATATGGGAGGCAATTGATGGATGTTTCTCTCTCACATCAGTGTTTCTCTCTCTCCCTCTCTCTCCAAAAAAAATCAATAAAGCATATCCTCAGGTGAGTATTAAAAAAAAAAAAAAATCCATTAAGCTCTCACTCAGAATTTTTCTTTGTTCATTCGAGGATACTAAAAGTTCTGGTACCCTTTGATAGAACACAGTACTTTGAAATTCGGGCAGAATGACTGGACCCCAAATTGTTCTTTCAAGATCTCAGAGCGCCCTATTTGTATTTCTAAAGGAAGCATTTAGTTCATAAAGTCCAGGAGATTCAGTGAGGTCAGAAAACCAAGGTGAGGAGTCCCTGCTCTCTACCGATTGAGCGTGATATAACCTCACAGGAGAACCGGGAGCTTGTCTTTCCCGGTTTACCTCAGATCTGTAACTTTCTGGAAGCCGTGGGCCGTCCAGCCTTCCTGCAGGTGGGAAACTGCCCCCCGAGCTGCGTGTGAAGGCGTTGACGTGTGCGAGCCTCGGCCCAAGCTGGCGCCCCGCCGCTGGGGCGGCACACCTCCCTTTTCATTCTCTTCTGCCATCAGATCCTGTCACCACATTGGGAAGATTAGACAAAAACTCCCCGCGGTTTATTTTCTTTTTGAATAAGTTATATTATGGAGGGACTTTTAAGCTACAAGAAGAAAAGCTCCTTCTTTGTTAGAAGCAGCAGCGAGTAGTTTCAACTTGTCCCGGACTTCCTCGGAGATGTTTTAAGATCCGGTGTAAACTTGCTGTGGTTTGCCTTTGGGCATCCAACTGTTTAGCTTGGCTCTATTATATCTGTAATTGCTGCATTTTAATAATTGCCCAATATTCTTGTCAGCAATTTGCAGCCTATATTTTTAATAGAACCGTTTGCCTTTCTTTTCCACAGGTTTATTCAGACCTGGGTTAAGCCCCTGGATTAACGAGCGCAGGCCCACAGACCCTGTGCAGCTGCGGGCAGGGGGTGACACAAGCTCATTAAGTATTCCCACAGGCCTCATGCTGGATACAGTTTATGTGTTCCATAAACATCCTCTGGGAAGCCATCTTCTTCTGAGATCTCTTTATGGGATTTTGCTTTATGAAAATTGCCTTAGCGTTTGCTGAAATTGCATTTTTTTTTTTTAAGAGAGGGTTTTTCTTATCGGTTCACTCAGGAAATCTGATTTTTTTTGAAGGTAAAAAATAGGGACAAATTCTCTTTGCTGTTGATTTGTTAAGGTAACAGAAGAGACTACCATTTTATCTGAGGTGGAGTTACAGTGACAGAAATGCTGGACCTCAAGGGATGATTGAAGTCAGTTTCTTGGCTTCTAAAATCATCTCTATAATTTAGTCAGTTTTTGAGACAGGACCGTTGTGGCACCAGTGACGTGACTCAACTTGACTGACAATTTTGTTCTTTTACTAATTTCATTGTTTAGCTTATCTCCTTTTTGTGTCTGTTGAAATGTTTATTTTTCAATAAACAGAAGATTTTAGCTGCTTGTACACTGGCTAAGAATTATATAAATATCCACACCCCAAGTTCTTTACTTTGTTGACGTAAATGCAAGGTGGGGCAGAAGTAGGTTTATAGTTGTGACTAAACACAGAGTTTATTCTTGTATTATTATTAATTATTGTATTATTTTCCTTATGAACAACTGTAAACCTACTTTTTGCCCCACCCTGTATACCTCAAAAAGAATGGCCAAATGGTGATAATAATAGCTAATATTTATTGATTGCTTATTATGCATTGACACTGTTCTAAGTATTATATATATTAATGAGCAGTGTGTGTGTACACGTGTGCGTGCGTGTGCACTGAATCCTCCCAATAACCCACATGGTAGGTTCGTGTACGCAGAAAAATCTGCCCAACATCACAGATTTGGTAAGTGGCAGAGTGAATTCTAACCTCGGCAGGCTTTTAACTGCCATCAAAATCCATATTCTATTCATAGTAGGCTTTTAGTTACTATCATATACTAAGATTGAACCACAGGACCTCCTACACATATAATAATTTAGTTTCAAGATATGTCTAAGAAATTCTTTTAGAAATTAGAACTTTATTGTTATTATTTCTGAATATGCAATACTTTCAAAACCCAAATGGTATAAAACTCAAAACGGCAATTCAGTGAAAAGGCTCCTCTCCTTCCCATCACTGTCCTTCAACTGTTTCTGTAGGTAGACCAGGATCAAGGCAGGTCTGCCCTGGCAAGGGTCTGGAAATGGGGTTCTTTTTTTTAAATTGAATTTTTAGAGAGAGACGAAGGGAGAGGGGGAGACAGAGAGAGAGAGAGAAACATCCATGTGAGAGGGAAACATTAATGGGTTGCCTCCTGTACTCCCCCTTACTTGGGATCAAACCCACAACCTAGGTGGGTGCCCAGACCCGGAATCAAACCAGTGACCCTTTGGTGCAAGGTGAGCTCAATCAACTGAGCCACACTGGCCAGGGCTGGAAATAGGATTCAGGATTCTTCCAGGTATCGCAGAAAACGCAGTTCAAGGATACACGCATGGAGGATTTGAGGTGTACCTAGTGGCAAGATTTTTTGGACTGGCTCATTTGGTGCTGCACATTGGCCCCCCAGCCACCAAGGAGAGAGAACATGCCCCCCAGGGCCTTTGTTAAGCTTTGTTATTTCCTTGGATTTGGGAAGGGGTAAACTTTCTTTCAAACTAACCAGTCTTCTCCTTAATTATTTGTGGGCTTGTGCTGGGCCCTCCCTCTATCCAGTCCCTTTCCTGGATCTTCTGGGGTTCTGTGCCCTTATCCTATCCAACCCATTCCCCAGATTTTCCCAGGCTGGACTCCTCCCTTTATGGTCCTCATTTTAGCTCCTATCGCCTGCCTCAGTTTTGCATCAGTATGTGGCTCCTGTGCATGCACCCAGCAAAGGAGTTTCCCCTCACTTTATTCCTCCCCCTGGTAATCCAGTGAACAGGCCAGTTATTCTCAGGGGGAGATCGGAAAGCAAGTCTTTCCTGCCTGCTGGGGGGTTAAATCCCTTTGGTAGAGGATGCGGCTGTCCCCTGGGGTGTCTGAGACTTAATCAGGTTTAGCTAGTTTAGCTCCCTTCTCTTTTGTTAATATCTAACTAGCTACCTATGCTAACACAACCTCCCTGTTTCTCTCCCCGCTTCTCATAGGAAATTAGTATTACTGCTGTAAAGAACCATTTTAAGTATCTTTCTCTTAACATAGTGAACTAGGACACTCAGAAAATCATTTTGCCATTGTTTTAATATTTTTGTACTGTATCTACAAGTGCCCAGGCTGGCTTTGTCTCTGAAGGTAGCAAGCTGGTTGTGTGGATGGTATTTTCTGGGTGAAGACAATAAGGCTGCAGTCCCTAGCTATTTGAGATGGTTCCTGGAAAGGCCTTGAATTGGCTTTGCCCAGGGCTTAGATCAGGCATGGTGTTTCTACTTTTATCCAGGTGTTGGATAACTTTTATTCTTGATGAGGAGTCATGTCCTTAAACAATGCATGGAACATAGCAGGTGCTCAATAAATGTTTGTTGACTTGGACAACTTCTGTGGCTTGTGCCAGGCTGAAGGATACAGGACTGGAAAATATACTTTGGAGTATACTCTTTAGGGCCATAGGGGGCAATATTCAAGTTAAGCAAACCACCACAAAACTTGCCATTCAAGGTTCTGGATTGGGAAATGTTCAAAAGGAACTCTGGACCCTCTAGTCCAGTAAACAGATAGTCTCAGATGGGACAAAGGGACACTTTTCTCCTGCTAGAAGGCTGGCAAAAAGTTAAAATAAGAATCTTGCCTTTTAATGGTTCTTTATTTTCCAAATTGATTCTAAATCTATTTTAATTTGATCCTTGTGATAACTCTGGCATTGTAACATTAGATTGAGCCTCTAATCAGAGCTGTTTGTGTTTTCTTGTTAGCACCAGGAATTCATGAATCAAGTGTCACTGATTGCTTTAGTGCCACACATAACTGGTGATGTAATATTATAGGCGCACCTTGATTTTCTTCTGTGGTCCTGAAAATTTTATATAAAACCAAAGACTTCAAATGTGAAACGTAAATACGGTTTTGCAAAAGTATTTGCTATAAAAACCTTTAGAAGTAATTATCAGCCCCATCTCAGTTTGTTTGAGTGCTGTTTTGGCCTCTTTTAAGATAAATTTATCTTACCCTTTTTAGAAGTTCTTCACTTCACCCTAATCTTTATGAAAAGAAGTTCCTGCATTAAGTTTTCTTCCTGAAATATGTTTATTTTTACAGACAACTTGAAAATTGGAAAGAAGGATTTTAAGGCCACATCTGATTTGCAGAGATTGTCTACGATCTGAAGAACTACAGGCCGAGGTGACTGAATGGGACACACTTTTGGAGAAATAAAAATGACTTCTCATTATGTGATTGCCATGTTTGCCCTAATGAGTTCCTGTTTAGCTACTGCAGGTAAGTTACATAATATAAATTGCATGTTGATTATATTCTTTTGGATATAGTTTTCCTCAGTGTCTTCGGTTTAGAAAAATTCAGGACGTGTTATTTGTGCAAAACTTGAGTATTTATGTTCTTCAGGGAAATAAAATATTTAACTTCTGTACAGATACATAGTATGTTTGCCTGTGTTACATTTTGATAGACTAGTGCTAGACATTCTAACGTTGGTGATGCAGATACCTAGCTAACCTTCAGCGTTAAGGTGGGTAGAGAACAAATATGCTAAGGCTTAATCCCACTTAATTTTGTTACATGCATAGATTACATTTACTTTCTTGTCCTAAATAAGAATTTCAAGCCCTGGCCGCTGTGGCTCAGTTGGTTGAGCATCCTCTCATGCACGGAGAGGTCACAGGTTCGATTCCTGGTCGGGGCACATGCCTGGGTTGTGAACTCAATTCCCAGTAGGGGGTGTGCAGGAGGCAGCAGAAGGATTTATGTCTCTCTAAAACATAAATAAATAAAAAGAATTTCAGCCCAGCTGGGTGTGGCTCAGCAGTTGAGCATCGACCTAGGATCCAGGAGACTATGGTTCCATTCCAGGTCAGGGCACATGCTTAGGTAGCAGGCTCGATCCCCAGTCGGGGGCATGGAGGAGGCAGCTGATCATGATGACTGTCTCATCACTGATGATTCTATCTCTTTCTCTCTCCCTCTCCCTTCCTCTCTCTGAAATCAATAAAGATATATTTAAAAATAAAGAATTTCAAGAAGGCCTTTTTGTTCTTTATTATAAGCTAATTAGATCTTCTAGATAGAAGAGGTACTCCTAGCATAGGCTGCTTAGAAGGTATTTAATTTTGTCTGTTTCAGATGTTTAAATATGTAACTTTTAAAAAAGTACTGAAATATTCATCAGAATATGGAGTTGGAGATGAGAGGAAACCAATGGCTTGGTTGGAAGATTGTTGCTTAAGTAAGAACATCAGATCTTCCATATCAGTGTCTTAGTATTGGCAGTCACGGTTACTTAACAAATTTGGAAGTTTAATTTGCTCTATTTTGTCATTTGCTTTGTGTCTGTTCTATAATGGCCTACATAAAATGATTTTGTTGGACCAGTTCTCGAAACTGGCTGGTCTCACAAGAAACACATTGACTTGAAAAATGATTAGCCTCTTGGTTTTGGCTATTGAATTCACATGCAGCTGAGATGATAACGATGATAATTACCATTTATTGAGTGTGCACTACAGCCAGGCACTGGGCTAAACAACTACAGACTATAACAATGGATAGGATATTCTTATTTCATGAGCTCAGTTAATCACAACTCTGAGGGAGGTTTGGTTATTTTTCTCATTTTACAGATGATGAAATGAGATATGGAGAGATTAGATAACTTACACAGTGTCATGTAGCTGGGAAGTGGAGGAGCCAAGGTTTACATCTATGCTCTTAACCTCTGTGCTATAATGAAGAAGCCAGACCACCAACGGGAGCTCTAGGAGACTCAGACTAACTAGTCTTCGTGTACAGGCACAGACGGAGTAAAAGCCAGTTTGTGGAACTTGGTTTATGAGATTGGAAAGCAGAATGTCTCTCTCGTTGCAAATATCTTGAGAGAAAGTTGCTAGGGTTTTTTTTTTGGTGTGTGTGTGTTTTTAATGCCAGCATGTGAATTTGAACTGCCCATTGTCTCTGTCAGCAGTTTCATTTTGTCTCATGATTGAAGAGTTATTTGCCTTTTAGCCTGTGCATTAAAATGGATCTTAATTAAAATCTCATTGAAAGTAGCAGAGAGAGAGAAAGAGAGAGGGAGGGAGGGAAAGGGAGAGAGAGAAAGAGAAATGCCTTGATGGAAAATGTGCTGTTTCAATGACAAGATGTATAATCACACTTGATGGGTTTGAGGCAGAATTTTCTGCTTTCATTGACTCCGGGGACAGATTGAAAAACATAACTGAAGTGGTACCTCATGGGAAAATGGTGAGTTTGATGGCCTGGTACAGCCTTGATGTATTTGATAGTGAATCAGCTTTGCTTAGGACTTTCCTTCCTCCTTCAAGCCATGGTAAATATTGTTTTGAGTTATATATGCACTCAGAGCTCTGCTGAGGTGTACAGTAAAATTGAAGGTGCAGTAGAATTACAGATTCTGTAACAACATGGGGCAACTGATCAATAGTACAGAAGTAGAGATGCCATTTGAAGAGCCCATGAATGAAGAAGGGAGAAATGTTTTGTATGTACCAATATCCAGTAGCTTTCTGTATAGGCTTAGCACACTTGACAAAATGCTTTTTGGGACATTCCGGATGAATTGAACTTCAAGAAGATAGTAGTAATGATAATAATCCTGAATATTTACAAAGCAATTAATTAATTCCCGTGTGCCAGGCCCTTTTCAAAGTATTACCTCAATTTCTTTCTCATAACTGCCTTACAAAGTGTAAGTACTTTGATTATCCCCATTTCCAGATGAGGAAACGGAAGCACAGACAGGTGAAGTAACTTCCTCAAGATCACACATCTAAGTGGCAGATTTAACCATAAACCTGCTTAGTCTAGGTCTGTAGATTGAGACTTGAAGTCTCAAGGGATTATTGATCAGAAGGTGTTCATTTAAAAAGAATGATAATGGGTTTGCTCCAGGCCATCTTGAAACATCGGGTAAATCACTTACTGCGTCCCTGCTAAGTAAGTGCAAAGCATAGCACTAGCCACTTAGGGATATACAAACAAATGTCCGATTCATCCCTTCCTGTGATTCACTTGTACTTTAGGTAGGCATATAAAATATAACCATATAACAAAATAATCAATGTATGGTGAGTGCTAAGTAAAAGCCACAAGGCCTCAGAGGGGTCCGCAGGGGACGCCCTGCTGGGTTAGAGTGGCCAGGGAGGGCTTTGTGAAGTGCTAGGTTTGAGCTCGGCTTGGCAGGCCAAGCAGGATCTAAAGTGAGGGAGGCAATGGGTTGACCAGATGGGAGAACATGGCTAGCAAGTACATGGCCCTTAGGTGCTTGATGTTTTTAAAGACTGAGTGACCTAGAAGACTAGTATGGCAATGTAGCAAGAGGTCTGCTTGGAAGGAAGGAGAGGAGTAGATTGTGTAGGAACTTAAATGTCAGAGTGAGGCTTGCGGATATCATTTTGAGGTTTGGATTCTCTCTTCTTCCATTCCCCTGTAGCCAAAGGCATACACTATTAATCTGAGAATTCAAACTGTGGACTTAAAAAGTGACGCTGAGCATATGGCCTCATTATCTTCAGAGACAAGAGTGCCTGGCACATAGGCTGCCATGTACCAAGGGCTCTCCGTCTGCCAGCTCATTCATTTTGTCTTTATAAGATAAAGTATGAGGTGGGTATTAGTTTTATTGTCATAACCTGCATTTTACAAGCAAGGAAACTGAGACTCAACTTGGTTAATAATTTGTATGAAGTCCCAGAGCTGGGACTTGAACCCTGGCCGTTGGCTCTCAAGTCCGGCCCATCAGCCACGCCAGCGGAGCCTCTGTGGAAGAGAACCTGAATGTGGAATGAGTGAACCTCTGCATTTGATTGAGGAGCCCCAGTGAGACATCCTGGAACCAGATTAAACCCCTTTGGCCTCAGAAGAGACGTCTGTAAGTCATCAGAACCCAAGGAGCCCTCAAGTAATGGACCTTCTTTATTTTATTCTTACTTCCCTGACATGGCCACGGAGCTCTGCTGTAGAGTTCTTGGCTGCAGAGTGGGGAAGGCTGTAAAAGGCCTCGTTTAGATACACGGCCGGGGAGGGACGGAGCACAGCCCAGCACATAAAGTGAGCCCGAGTTAGAATAGTAGGAGGCTGCTTTTCCAGCCCCACGGGTTTGCCTGGGCCTTTCCTTCTTTGCTTGAGGCCCAGGGTGAGGGAGGCAGGGGGCAGCAAGCCACATCCCAGGGTCAGTGGTTGCTTTGACAAAATTCACACTTTCCTCCCCTCCCTCGTTCCTTGGTTATTGACAGCATAGTGGGGAGGGAGGGCCACACCCTTGGTGAACAGGAGCTGTGTTGGGACTGTAATGCCTCCTGATTAGAAACTACCTTAGGGTTTTTTGTTGTTTGTTTTTAAATATGTCTTTATTGATTTCAGAGAGAGGAAGGGAGAGGGAGAGAGAGAGAAACATCAATGATGAGAGAGCCATTGATTGGCTGCTTCCTGCAAGCCCCCTACTGGGAATCGAGCCTGTAACCCGGGCATGTGCCCTGACTGGGAATCGAACCCACAATCTCCTGGATCATAGGTCAATGCTCAACCGCTGAGCCACACCGGCTGGGCCCACCTTAGGTTTTTGGCACCTTACCTTAGATCTTGTAATCTCTCTAAGAAAAGTGGGAACTTTAAAAAATAAATGCTTGCTCTTATAAGCTTAAGGCTCACTAAGTTTTCACTTTAAAAACTGTTCTGCTACACATCTTTAAAAAATATTAACTGCTGACTCAGGCTTGCCAGAGTTAAGTAGGGCCGCGATCCCAGGAGCCTTAATAACAAGAAAAAGAGGCACAGACAGAATTCAGGGAAATTGGTTTGGGTGGAAGGTATGGACTTGTTTATACTCCGCTGGCCTCTTTGGCCAGGTCGGAGGGCTGCTGCTGAGGTGAGCTCTGCAGAGACTCTGTTGACCTCTGTGCCTGCGGGTGTTGATGGGATGGCTGCTTCCCTCATTCTACTGTTTCCATTTGGTGCCCAGACATGCCCTTTTGGAGGCTTGCCTACAATCTGCACACACATTTCTATTAAGCAAGCATATTTCTTTTTTTATCTCTCCTAGATATACCTGCAATTCCAGGTATAGTTCACAGGGAAATAGAAGTGGTTTTAGCTGGAGCTATTTTCCTGCAAAGAAAGCTCTGAACTGTTTGTGTCTGTGGGACAGCAAGCAGAGATGCTGGCTGGTTAATACTTGGTTTAGAAGGGGACAAGCTGGCAGCCTTAAGGGAGGTTAAACTGGTAACACAGGCATACATCACTTTATTGTG